TACCCACAAACAGCACAGAAGCCATATATAAAATACAAGTACATGGTGCTACTTATTTCTGTTGGAATTTCTTCCAGTAGACCTGAGACAGGAATTTAGTAAAAATATACAGAATAAAAAAGTGTACTTACAGTTCCATTAAAACTTCTATGAAATTAATAGTGACACCATATGCTAGAGACATTTTCAGAGATTCAAGAATTATATATAAGAATATTGAAATCCAGTTTCTAAAATGTATCATAATACATTCTACCTCTAATAATGTATAATGTCTCTTGTAACCAGCACTTCAGTCATGCAGTCACTAAACTCGTTAATGATGAAGTAAATTAATACTATCATTATAAAGCAATGATTTGGTTGAATGTTTTTTTTTTATCTTGAACCTTTGGCTTTTCAGGTTAGCAACAACAAAAAATGGCGTAAGACTAAATATTCCCTTACAAAGAGGCGTAGACAGCTTGAACACTGGAATGGCAACAGCAGTAATAGCATTTGAAATCAGAAAACAACTCATACAAAATTGGAGTAAAGAAAAACTAGCAAGGCAAATGTTGCAATCTAATTAGTACTTTATATCGTAGTTGTTAAGGTCGTATTTAGTTGTAGTATAGTTGTTGATATGAATTAAAAAAAATATTGGACCTACTGGTTTTTATTTGTTTTGTATTATGTATGTAGTAATATAAATTTTATCTATATCTATAAATAAGTATGTATCTATCATGAATTGATTAAAAAATACTTGCCAATGTATTGTCAGGTTTTTAATTAATATTGCATGATTGTACAATAAAAATTATACTGTAGTTAAATAGTAATAGAGAAGAAATTAGATCAAGGAGTCTTGTGAACATTAAGTCACTTTTATAAATTTTTAATAGTATGAGGAACATTTCTTAATTGAAATGTTACTTCAACATTGATAAACGCGTAGGTAACGCCGATTTGCAAGCAACTATGTACACAAGAGACAACTTCGTTCCTTTTAAGGTAACGGATTTTATATCGAAATCCTTCATCCATTATTTTTTGCATACAAAGAATAACAGGAAGTAAGGAAGGAAAAATACACGAATACTTATGCAATGTTAATAACAGCGCCATCTAACGTTATCATACGGAACTGCTTGGTAACTTATTCAGCCTGAGGCTTCAGAATATAAGCCGTAACGCCAATGAGGATAGAGGCGAATATCATAACTTTAGATAATCCTACTATGCACTACTGGAGTCGCGGAGAACCTAACGGGTAACCGGGGCTCCGGCTCGACGTGCAGGAGAAGGAACGGGGTGGTTTTTAGTCAGTAAGAGTCTGACACTCCCTCCCGCCTCACCCAGGCGGGGGCAGTCATTCGATGATTTTCCCCCCTTAAAAAAAAATGCACTACTGGAGCCGTGTGATCATGAACCGAGTGAATAACTTGGCACCACCCCTTCTCTTCCCGCTGGTGTCGTAGACTTCGACTAACTGCCAATTTCTATATCATATCTGAATCCAAAATCTTTAATTAAGATAGTTTATTCAAATTGGCAGTAAGGGACTAAATTTTTTTTTTTTTTGATATACGGAAACCAAATAAGCAGTCTATTTACCTGATGATATAGCGCTGCCTATGAAAACCCGCAACGCCAAAGGAGTCACAAGTGTGTTACATATTTAAAAGGATTACGCTGTTTTCTTGAAAATTTGACGTTACATTACCTAAACAATGACAGACTGGATAGCAACGCTCCCTGATTAACCTAAAATTTAAACTACGTATACCTACGTACAATCTCCATCCCGGCCAAGCGTGGAGATTGACCGTAGTTCAGAGGCCTACGAGTTTGTTATAAGTACGTTTAAAGTAATTGAGATGAGACCGCGTTCGGCGCTCTGATTGGTTGGTGCATTGGAGCTGACCAATCAGAGGGCTTAGTACGAGTTTGTTTTACGTCTAAATTAATAGAAACGAGTACGCGATCGGTGCTCTGAGGTCTTAGTACGAGTTTCTTTTACTTTTAAAGTATTCGTAACGAGTATGCGTTCGGCGCTGTGATTGGCCGGCTCCAATGAACAAACCAATACTACTCGTTTCGAATACTTTAAATGAGGGGTGGCCAACCGGTCGATCGCGACTGTTACTCTAGTCGATCGTGGCTAGACAAAATATATATGTAGAAGACAATACACCCATTGGGGGTACTTCGTCATCGGATTCTTCGTAAACGCGGTAAGTTCGGTACGGGCTGGCAGAACAACCGCTCACCCTCGTGTCCAACTCAAAAGTGACGCCTTTCAAATGTCAAAATGCCACGCCCCGTACCGACCATCACCCAAGCACACTGCTTGACGTTTCCGACAAATGATAACAGATGGCGTTGTTCTAAAATTACGATACTCGATAGTTGTGCATCTTTGTTGATTCTGCGACATCTAAATAAATAGACCAGACTGCGCAACGTAATTATCAACTACTATCTACAAACTAGATTATGCTAAACTAGTGGAAAATGCTCAGGCACAATGCTCACACTAATATATAGGACCTATATAATGTTAAGTTAACAAATACATGATTGTGTACTAAACTATGAAGTTTAATTTCAAGAAGTATGCACTTGGTAGATCGCACAGGATTTCGTTAGTAAACAGTAGATCTTAGGTCTAATCAAGTTGTCCACCCCTGTTTTAACTCGTCGAATACCGGTTTTGTAGACACAATTATAGAACAATAGGTTGTGGTCACCGGTGGCCGCTTGGTGTTTGACAGTTTAAACGTAAAACAAACTCGTTGGTACTAAGGTCTCAGAGCACCGAACACCGTTTCGTTTCGATTAATTTAAACGAAAAAAAAAAAAAAAAAACTCATAGTAAGCCTTCTGATAGGCCGGCTCCAATGAACCTACTAATTAAACACTGCTTTAATTTGTATTCTTTGATTTTTGACGTCTAAGTACTTAGTCTTCTTGAATTGTAACCAATAGAAGACCAGACCAGACCACAGAAGTGGATTTTTGCTCTTCTCTGCAAAAAACCCATCTGTGGTCAGTATTACGGCATCCAATTTTCGCTAGGGTTTACTCCTCGCTTTTTAACTAAGTAACAAAATAAGTATTCGATATGCAATGCCAAAAGTCTCCGAGGACAGCTTAACTAGGTACCTACTTAAGTCAACGTTTAATACAATAGTTTACGTGACTTCTCTCTGCCTGAGGCTATTTATCCATACATTTTAAAAACCATTCAATTCGTCCTTCAATAGGTATCTAGACCACGTTTAATTTCCTCTTAGCTAATCTTACACCTGATACCATCTCTTAATGAAAATCTTTTTTTAAATATTTACTTCGTATTTGTTCTTAATTCTATTGGCTGTGTCCTTGTCTCATTTGTTCTGTGGTCGTTAACGCAATTGCATAGTATAATTAAAGCCTTAAGCTCAAACCTTGGATATCAATCTATGTTGATAACATAACATAACATAACATCGCGCCTTTTATCCCCGAGGCGGTAGGCAGAGGTGCACATTATGCCACTGTACAATGTAACACCCATTTTTCACTATTTATGTTATGAGTCCCATGTAATAGGGGGTGAGCCTATTGCCATATACCGTGTCTGTGTTGATATTAATGGATAATGTTCCACGTTAACAAGTCTCGACTCTCTTAAGACTAATTTTCAAGCCAGGCAAATAATATTGCCAAGTAACGGCTTTTCGAAAATTCTCAAGACTAGCACAGAGTCTGAAATCCGTTACGGGTTTCGTTTCTCGTACTGGACAATTATTATTTTTGCAATACACAACTCTTTCTTTAGTACCCACAACAGCCACGCTCCAAAATAATCTAATGCCCAACACTGAGACATGTCTTTTAAACAATCAAAACATGTAGGTAGATATAAGTTCAAGATAGGAGGATAGTTAATTAAATCATTCTACTTCGGACGAAAGTTCCAATAATGAGTCATACATTAATTCATTTTGTTGCTGGGCTAATTAGTCTTGCCTAGGTCTGACTGACCGAGTAATAGTTCAATACACGTGAAGACGAAGCATTGAAATACTTAAAGTTAATAGCTGAAATTATATTCCGTAGACAATCCAAATAACTGCCGTCTGAATAGTAAGTAGGGGAGCAGTTAGCTTCACAGCGGCGTCCGTTTATAGGACATAGTTTAATGTCATCCTTGAGAGCTCTACATCCCAAGTTAATTCGCTTTGCGGGCGACTATTCGTTGCCAACTTAGTTTGACGTCATCAACTGCGTATAGGCTGCAGTCCAAGTAGGCTGTCGACCAGACTAGATCAGTCACGACGACCTTTTTACTATGCGTTGTAAAATTCAGACACGCTTATTTTTTTCTTTTCGTCCTTCAAATCTTTCAAATTCTGACGGTAATTGATGAGCTGGAATTTTAGCTCTATTACTTACTAGAACTTTTATACTAAGTACTTAGTCGGCAATTTTTTTAAATCGTCCTCCTTGAAACTAAGGAGCTCTAATGAATATTATGTAACTTGGCACTACACTATTTTTACAAAATAAAGTGAGGTAAACCTCATCTTCCAGATAATAATTAAAAGTATTGAATTTACTATTTAGATCAAAAACACCTACGTATCTTCGCCCTTCGCGCTAACTTTGGTGTATAAACTTTCACCAGTCTTCTGAGCGCCTGGGATTGAAATCTCGGCAACGCTAGGCAGTTTTAGTGTTGGCAAAAACAATATTGCAAATAATATACTTAGTGTAATTTTAAATTTTATTGCTTGTAAATATTAGGTGCGCCTATTTCATGGGCTATAGACGTGGCCTATCTCAATCAGAGGGATGGAATTAGGGGATTTTTCAAAGGAGAATTCGTAGTACCTAGTTAAGGATGTGAAATGTAGGAAGGAGGCGTCGTCGGTCAATACTGGAGGTGGTGCGGTGCGGGCGCGGTGCGCAGGCGTGGTCCCCCGTCCCCCGGCCGCTGCCGGCCCACTCACGCAACTCGCGACTCGGCCGTCGTGCGCTGCGATCGCGCGCGAGAGAGCTTTCGTCGCCGCTCTAGCCATGTGTGATGTTTTCATCACAGAAGGGACTCTCGTCTAGTTTCCGCACTTGTTATTTGGCAAGATGAATGAGTAATATATTGGACGACATCTGCTAACGTAGGACAGTTCCGGTTGCTTCCCTGAAGGACAACTTTCGCAGTGTCTAGTTTTTCTCGTAAGCTCGTGGCCGTTGACACTGCAGCGTGCGGATCCCGCAGTGCGTGAGTGTGTGGTTAATTGGCGAACATAATAGACGAAGACGTCAGCTGAGTCGCGTAAACATTGGCTAAATAGTTGACTGACGGGACTGTTGACGATGGCTCCGGTAAACACACGCGCGTAAACGTTCCACGCTGGTCCTGTAAGCATTCCGTCATGCGGCGTTTAATTCTACTGTTCCTACTAACAGGTAAGTTTGCATGGTTTTCTTCTAATTCTCCGGTTATATCAACGTCTTCATTCTTCCCAATTTGTGTAAAATGTTTTGTTTATATCATTTTTTACCTTCCAAATTATTTTTGTTGTTTATGTTTTTTCCAATTGAAATTTACTTAATGCCTGCCTAATTAGTTTTATCTACTTAGTGCTTAATTAGTGTTTTTACACATACTTGTATGTTCATTTCTCCTGATAACATTATACCCTAAGCTGACACCTACCTAATCTTAACTCATACTAGTAATTTAAAGATCACTTAACATTCCTTATCTTTAAAACAACGTCATTCCCAGATACGAACGAATACCTATAGAGGCGATATTTGTCATATGATTTGAAAAATAAGTTATAATTCAGCCAAGGGACCCTCATTCCGGGCAATTCAGGGAACAAATGGGACCGTTTGAGTAAGAGCACTTTTTGCGGGCGCCAATCTCATTTCTGAGAACAATTTGTGGTTGTTTTTATGGCTGTTTCTTTGTTAATTAGTAATTTTATTCTAATTTATTAACGAAATTTTATTTGGGGTCTTGGGAATGCCACGGTACGGTAAGAAATCTGTCCGTATATTCTGAGATTTCTTAAGTCATTTTAATAAAAGAATACCATCACATCACGACCCGATGCGATGGTATTATTATTGAAAGAGCATCTATTGTTAAATGGCCATCTGCCGGTACCATCAATGAGTATTGCCTTTTTATGCGTCATATTAATCGTGATGCGGCATAATAAATATTATATTGACAAAGACGATTTCTATCTGGACATATCAACTTACTATTTTCAAAATTAAAAATTGTAAAAACTCCCATCACTTTCTTTCCCCAAGATTTAAGCACCTTCACGTATGAGCGTAATAACATCTACTCATAAAGTTGAAATATCTTAACAAGGTCCGAATAAAATTTTACATGAAATAGTACTAAACAGCTGAGATTTAAGGCATTAAACGTAACCTACGTTAGTTTTAAGGAGCCCGCGACAGGTGTTCAACGCAGGTAGACGTCGACTTTGGCCGTCGGACGGGTTTCCTTTTGTTAAAATAAAATCGCTCAATCAGTAAAAACATCGGTAGGAATATTACTAAACATAAAACAGCATCCGTAATGTCCTGTACGTATAAATACTGGTTATTTTAAATTTAACAAACCATATAACGGAGTTGTAGGGCGTTGTTGAAGCTATATAGGGCGTTGTTGAAGTTAATAATATTCTGAAGGACTCACGCCTTGTATATCACGAAGGAAAAGATAAGCAGGTCATCAAGGTGGAACTATCTATCATGGAAGAATGATTCAGAAAATTGGACTAGAAACGAGGACCGAACAAAAGAAACGTGGAACTTGACATAACGAAGAAAACAATAATACAACAATCAACTGCAATCATTCCTAGTTATTGTAAAATGATAGATTTTTTAAACCTATTGTTGTCTACATTTCTTTGAAGAAAGCTATCGTTGAAACTTTTGCTCTCGAATAATTTGTTCCGATCCCTATTTCAAATAGAATATGATAAATCGCAAACTTTCTTGCGACGAAAAATAAGAAAAGTTGGAAAAAGTGGGGTCCTTCCCTCATCAATCTACTGTTAGGTATATTGAATCCACTATGCCTTAACTTCGCCGCAATGTCACTGACAATCTAAAAAGTACCATCGCTAAACTTTTTCATCAGACCTTTGACTTTTTATTGTGAAGCTATGAAACTTGCTTACTTTATCTAAAGTTTTGCTAATTTTCCTTCCAAGTGTAAAAGCTATCGCTGTCACCGTTGAGTAAGCAATTTCAGTAATGAATAAAGTAATTAATGCCAATTAAAAGCAGAAAGACTGTCGAGTTGGTAATAAAAGTCTCCAAAATGAAATATCGTTGGGTCAGTATTGGTTGCTTATAGAAGATGTCTGAAGTTTTTTAGGCAATAGAATTTTGGTGCACGTAGAACGTACCCTAAGTGAATGCAAAGCCTTTTATGTAAGTAGACTCTTAATTCCTGAGTATCAAGTTTTAGCCGTACAAAGTCTTACTGAACCATATTATTATGCCATAGCAATATAACAAAACGTTCTAGTTTTGTAAAAAAGGAATTAATGTAGTGTTCTACGTTTCAAAGAGCACCCACATTTTTTTGTTCGTTTTCGAGCGGATACGGACTGCACCTGGCCTCCGCTCATTTTTTCATCACATTTTAAGTTAAGGATTTATTTTAGTATACCAACCAGACACAACATTCACTGTTATAATGTACGCTTTCATAATAATGTGTTACAAAATGTATTATGTTTAAAAACTCATTAATTTCGAGAAGTACATATATTTAGGATCCAACCAAATCTCGTAATTGATACGATAGACACGTATCCATACATTTTGAGATTAGAATAACTTACGTTAAACCCGGATTATGCCGAAATTTAAAGAGCGTCATAATAAGATGAGCGATCATAATTCTTGTAAGATATCGTACTCGATCGAATTTCAATATGATGTTCTTGTCGATCATCGGTCATTCGATCGTTATAACAACTTAAATATGATGTCCTTATTTATTTCTTAATGTCGGAATTCGGCCTCAATTAGTTCTGAATACTAAGTTTCGGTATGAACATGAACACTAATTAAAACCATCAGTCAAACTTCATGTAGCGTGCACAATCGTATTTAATTTTCGTATTCTCGATTCGGTGAAGAAATGCGGCTGTCTGTTTATGTCTATTTTCGGGTGTTGACAGAGCTGGCATAATCAACACGGGTGCAGGAGTCGATAAGTGGCCAGTGCCGGCTCACTTCGTTTCATCTCAGTGGTGTGTGTGTTTACACTCGCCGGTTGCGCTGCCTGTGGCCTGCGCCCGCGTACTTTTGGAACCAGAACCACGCTTGCGTGTGAATTTTATTTTAATTTTTTAACAAATTGTTTTTGTACAAACAAAGTTTTAGAAACCTAGAAAAGTTTAATTATAACATATTGCGTAGGCAATATTAAAAAAATGTTTTTGTATTATTCCATTTAGGATTAGGTAGGTCTACCTACATTATAAAAAATATCACAGAAAACAGCGAGCAATTATTCCTCAATCCGCTCTGTATGGAAATAAGTGTTTTACATAACTCTTTTTAACCTTTTCTAAAGCCAATTTGGTTGAAGTTAGGTCTATATTAAATTGGTTTTGCTTTATACCTAGTATCTCCACAGTGCTTATTTTAAAAGTTTGTCAGATTTTAATATTAGTACTGTTACTGTAGTTTGTCAAACTTAGATTAAAATTGAAGTATTTACGATACAGTTCATTTGGAACTGCAATTCAGAAAGTCAGTAAAATCGAGAAAAGTTAAAAGGATAACACTTCTAGTTCGGACTTGTTTCTTCATTCGAACCTAGTTCTAGTTTCCGACCGCTTGTTATTTCTTCAGAACATGTTTGTAAGAATGTGATTTCCCAGGTGCAATTTGGGTAGGTTTAAATTTCCCCGAAGAGTCCGCAGCGACCCGCATTGCCTAATCTCTAGTATAAATAAACTTATTACAAAAGTTTCCTCATTTGCCGCCTGTATTAAGACGGGACAACGGAATGTTTGTATACACATGACGATGAATTTGCTTCCCTAAAACTCAAAATATGTGAGATAACGAGCTCGGGGTGTTATTAGTCATAATTCTTAATCTGCTCACGAAGCGGTTGTGAACATTTATTATTCATATACGTCCTCTACGACACAGTAATTCTCAGGAAGAAATAGCTAGTGCTAATATTGCACTGAGATTATTTTTCTTCAGCGAAATAACAGACAGTGCGCGAGTTATTTCCCCAGTGACATGGAGATGGGTCTCCTAACTGCTTTGAGTTAATATCTAACTGTTCGCAACATAGTTTGCAATTAATCTACTATCAATGGAATTGACTGCTCTTGCGGGACTAGAATCTTGGTGCCATTTTGATTTCGAATATGGAAATGAAAAATGACAAAGCTCATATATTTTTGCGAACTAATAAGGTCTCAAAAAGTACAGACTTCTAAGCGCTGTCGGAGTGTCGGCCAAAAAAAGACTTGGATTATTCCAGTCTAGAATATTAGCAACGGTAACGAATCTTTTTAATTATAATTCACAAAATATTTTCCAACTTCATTTTGGTTGAAATTACTAAACAAACAGACTTTGTATGTTATTATAATATTAAAAAACTCTTCACATTACTGTAGAAAAGTTATCTATTTTCTAGAATTAGAATATAAATAGATGATTTTTAAAATTAAACCAAATTGCCTACATACGAAGACAGAATAATATTTACTCGTAAAGAGAGGGTAGCGAGTGTGGAACAAAAGACTGTGCAGGCTATAATTATCGACCTTGAAGAGCACAAGGGTGCCTGCGCAAGTCGGCACGTGCGTGAAGTAAAACGATAATGATAGAGTGGCCAGGGGGAGGCATAATCAACTGAATAACTAATTCAAGTCATTGCGCTTTACTCTGTATAATAGTCCTCTTTGTGGCACCCTTTTCTACTCTCAATGATCAAGTCGAGGGCATACTAAACATACATATTCTATAAAAATATTTTGAAAGGCAATCAAAGAACTGCGCATTTTAAATAATCCATTGTAAAGACTCGTTATTCTTAACAATGTTGAAAGTTCTATTAAAAGCCCATTATTCTGTAGAGATTAGAGATGCTAGAGAAGAAATATTAATTTCTGCTCAGAATACTTGCAAAAAGAGGCGGAAGATTGCCTTCCGCAATGGAAAACGTAAATTGAACGTACAATGAATGAAAATGGAGACATAACAATAACGCAGATGCTCTTGATGACCTTTCCGGCAACAGTATGAACTTATAATCAGACAATCCTAGAACTGGGCCGCAATATCAGCTTATTTGATGAAGGAGGAACGTTTCACGTTATTGATAAAACTACATCTTGGTTATTTATCTTCATTCTACAATAGAAATTGAATGCCGTTTATTTTAT